TAGGAGCACCTTCTAAATTGACATGAATAATCTGTGTACCGCATGAGCACGTAGCCAGTCTGGGAGACAGAATTATTGTTGGTTGGTAGGGGATCAAATACCTATTTTACTCACTGAACTGCAACTCCATTTATAACATCTGTATCATGTTTTGTTTCTGGATTTTTGGTTGATATTCTGTCTCTATCAGTTAAAATACACCTATGATAAAAATGATAGACCCTTCATTTCTTTGTAAGTGGGCAAACTTACAAAATCTGCAGGGGATCAAATAATAATTTTCCCCACTGTATAGTAATTTGTGGTTTAGTAAATGGCGGAATATTGTTAGCTTTAAAAGTAAATGTATTATCTGTCATTCATTCGAAGTGGTTTCTCAGTTTAGTGAAATGTTTTATTCACTGTCCACACACCCAACAGACTAGGTAAATCATCATATACTGTAACTTGAATTTTAGATTCTAGCGTGCATCGTTTAGATGTCAGTAACTTTTTACATGTATAAGAATGGCCTGCTCGACAGAATCTGTCAAATAGGTGACAAAGAGGAGTGTGGGCCAGGATTAAAGCCCTGGTTCACACTGGTTTGACTTGTCATGTGATTTGACTGTTACAAATCGCATGACAAGTTGCATCCTATTGTCAGCAATGGAACTGTTCCGGCTTTGAAAAAAAAGTTCTGCTGATTGCCGGTGCGATACACAACCCCTAAATAAGAAAGAAAATGCATGTTTTTTACTTGCAAGAAAATGTGCATTTATTTATTTATTTTTTAAAAAGTGAACTTATCCTTTAAGAAACTGTTCACAACTATGCATTTTTCAAAATTCCTGTTTGGGGTGGATTCCAGCAAGAGCATCTCCACAGAGATGAATTGTATTGCATACTGAAAACCACAGTACAACACGTGGACTCAGCTCCAACTCTGAATAAACTGGGTGGCCTTTGAGTACTAGCACACAGGCGGATCCAAAGGCTGCTCTCCTCCGTATGCTATCTTTTTGCAGGAGATTCCGATTCTACTGAGTGAGGATTGCAATGGAGTTTCTTGGCAATTGTGTGCTTTTCTGTTTTTCTCAAATGTGAAAATGAAGCAGGAACTTTTGCAGCTGTTTTACTAAAAGTAATTTTGGAATCGTCTCTAAATACATTGCCTAGTGTAAGGCCCATTATTAAGCCGAATGTTTTGGGATGGCAGTTTTACTGTGCTTCTGTTTATGTCGAGTTCTTGGCTTGCAGTAGATTTCCTTGTCAGAAATGTGCTTACTGGGAGAGATTCGTTCACATGGTGTGTTGGGTGGATGATGTGTGAAGTGACCTTTTTCTCCTGCCAGATCTGAGTTGCATCACCATGCCATTTTTTTGGTTGAAGGATTCCTTTTCAGCTGCACAATTACATCGGTTTCAGGGTTATGCAATGTAAAGGTAATCTGCCCCTCATTCTCCTAATCTTCTTGCTTTGCCATCAGTAACCTGGTCCCCCCCATCTGTAGTTGGCATGAATTATTGAATGAGTCATATGATAAACTATCCAATCTAGTGTGTTAGATTTGTCAGCTTCCTTCAGCTTTGTTTTTTTATGTTTTCAAATGAGATTTAAGAAACCCAACATTTTCCAGTCACTGACTTGCTGTTTGAGGTCTCTTTGGCAGCCATTACTGCTTCTCTTGGCAGATCTGGTAGTATAGGTGAAAACACTAGAACATTGTTGGCATGCTCTTTTAGGTGACAGGTATTCTGTATATCAGTGCTGAGCTTTGGATGTAGTAAACTGTTGCCATCTGCTGGCAGCTAGAAGCTAATACAGAGAATTTGCACTTTTCTGCTCCACGTCATGTAAAGACATGAGCTTGGGCTTCCACTAATCTCTAGCTCAACTTCAAATTTTTATTTATTTTTTTTTACTCCAGTGAGCTGTGGGCCAGGTCATTTTCACCCTGCAGCTCATTTGATAAAAAGAGTTTTGAATATAACTGGAGTAGAGGTGTTTAGAGGATGTCCAAGCTCATCTCTAGTAGTGTCTGATCTTTTCCCTGAGACTCAAGAGGTCAGCCCTAGTTAATCTTAAAAGCAGTATACCCAGATAACTTAAAGAATATGTAAACCCAAAATTTCATATTCCGGATATGCGCCTGGCCATTTCCTTGTATGAAAAAAGTATCCTGTTCTTTGTTATTGCTTCCTTTATATGATATCCCTGGTGTTCCTGTCCATCCCTCTGCTTTCCTATTCAAAACTGACCACACTAAGCCAGAAAACACAACATGGTCAGTTCTCTAGCTGTGCTAGGAACTTGACCTGCTCTTCTATGATCAGACTTGTCTTAACACCCCCGCAAAGCCTTTCACTGTGAAGGTCAGTGCTCTGCTGTTTCTCCTTCCTCAGCTCTTATGCAGCTGAGAACAGAGGGTATGTGATTTATTAAAAAAAAAAAGTGTGTGTGTGTATGCATTTATAATATTTTTATATCTATGCAAAAATATTTTGCCTTTCATTTCTATTTTAAACTGAGTGGGTTGTTTTACAAGGTGAGGGTTTGCAATCGCTTTTACGTTTATTTCAAAAAGCTGTTAATATAATTAAGAGGTATGTTCATATGAAAATAAAATAAGAAGCCTAAATACTCACCTCCATAATACAGCATCTGTGTGAGGCTGCAGCTGTCCCATGTCATCTCGAAGACCCAAAAGCAAGTATTCACATGTCCACTGATCGCCTGGAAATGGCTTGCCATCAGCTGACTCTGGGTCACAGGAAAACAAACATAAGTGCACCCCTGTAACCTACAAGAGACGTATGGACTAAAAAGCTTTGGCCATACTTTTTCTTTTAATGCCTCATACAAATATACCCAAACAGATATTACATTTATGTCACTTTGCTGGCAATAAAATTATTTTTTCCCCTCTCTCTACATCCTTCAATTTTTTTCCCTAAGGGTTAACGCAACCTAGTGGCCCCAAGAAGAGTGTTAAATCACCAAGAAACGGTCTATTTTTATTTAAAGAATACCTCTTTAGTGCACACAAGTACAATGTGATCTTAAACCTTTTCCAGTAATTGCAAAACAAGAGACCTTGTGAATGTAATTATCAAATATATCTAGACAAATTGGAGATGATTTATTAAAACTGGAAAGTACAAAATCTAGTGCAGCTCTGCAGAGAAACCAATCCGTATCCAGGTATTTTTCCCCTCAAAGCTTAATTGAACAAGCTGAAGTTGTGCGCTGCTTGGTTCCCAAGCAGAGCTGCCTGGAAAATGCTCCGCTCAATGTGAATGTAGCCTAAAGTGGTCAAAGCTGAACACTGAGGTTCATATAGCCTAGATGGAATCAGAGAATAGCAGAGTATGAAGACTGGCAATATTGCACAGGGATTGAGCTTTTTGAAAACTTCGGAACATCTCGCATCCCAAAGCACAAGCTTGCATATCCTGATAATTTCTTCAGTTACAAACATCCATGGGTGTTGGCAGAAACTTGGGTATATTATGTGGCCTATTGCCTTGCTGTGGTGCTGCTTGTACTCTTTCCTTTTTGAAAGCTGTGTAATCATTGTCCAGTGATCAGCCTGGAGATGCTGACATGACCCAGGCAGTTGCAGAGCTATTCCCTCTGAGTAGTGGTATCGCCCTATCCTGTGTCAGAGCAAATTGCCTTTGGCTAACTTACATGTGTATTTGTGAAGTATTTGTAATTGATAAATGTTTGCTATATTTTCTGTTTTTAACCCCTTGACACCGACGTCACACAAATATGCGGCCTCACAGAAATGGGCTTTTTTCCGTGGGGCCGCATATTTGCGTACCTGTCTTTGTGCTGGGAGCATGTCGCATTGTGCGCTCCCAGCACAAAGACCGCGGTGTCACTGAGAGCCCCGGGTCCCGTTCTAACGATCAGGACCCGGGACTCCCAATTCCGGGTCACATGATCGCTGTGATAGCCTTTGATTGGCTATCACAGTGATCAGTCACTGTGCAGCCTGGCCCCCTTGTTTTTTTCTCTCTTTATGAATGGAGAAAAGAGATACAGTGTATCTCTCCAACTCCTGGCATAGAGAGAAAAAAAAATGTTTGTAAAAAAGAAAGATAAATATTAAAAAATAAAAGAAATAACAAAGAAAAAATACCTAGATCAAGGTTTGATCTTGTTCAGTGTCGGTTATTGTTTGGGTCAGGGTCAAAGGTCAAGGCCAAAAGGTCCAGGTCAAAGGTCAGGCTTTAAAAAAAAATTGGTGCCAGTGTGCTTTAGGTAAATTAAAAAAAAAAAAAAAAGACAAAAAGAAAATGCGCATTATTGTTTCTGGGCTGTACTACAGGTACAAGTAACATACACATATATGGTATTGCTGCGATCGTCAGGAGCTGGAGAATTAATTTTGGGTTGTTCTTTGGTGGAAGGTTATGGTAGTAACAAGAAACACACAGCTAAATAAAAAAAAATATTTTTTTTTTTTACTATTTTGGGCCAGTTTTCCTTTGATTATTAAAAAAAAAATCAGGAGATATCATTACCATTTACTACCAAATGAAAGCCAAATTTGTCCTGAAAAAACACGGTATAATTCACCTGGATGTACAAAGTAGTTGTGATGATATGTACGGTTTTACTAACACATGTCAACGTTGCAAAATTGTGCTTAGGCATTTAGATGTGTTTTACCCTTAGGCGTGAAGGGGTTAATATGGCAATGATCAGAAACCATGTTGTATCAGGATCACTTGCAAATAATGGCTGATGTAATAGTATTTTGAAGTATATTTGCTTGCTTACTATGCTACTGCTATTATCTCTGTAAATGCAGCTCATGGTCAGAATGGCGGCAGGGGTGTACAAAACAGACTTTTTAGTATACCTTCTTTACTTTTTTCTGTTTTTGTTTTCAATTTACTTTCTGTTAAACCTAACAAAAGTTAATAAAAACCTTATTTGATTAAAAAAAAAAACCCATATTGTCATGTGAATTAAACTTTTTTTTTTTTTTATTCTCTGTCTACAGCAACAGATTGCACGACCATCCCAAGAAGAAAAGGAAATTGACAAAGTGGAAGAGGAGAAAGCAGAAAAAAATGAGAAAAGGGAGGAAGAACGAAGGGAAGAGGAGGAGAAAGATACAAAAGAGGAGTTTAGGTAAAACAAATATGCAAGAACTTACCTTAATGAGTAACAATCTATTCTGAGCACACCTGAAGTAGCTTTTTTCTTAGGCCACTTATTTTTAAGCAATCACAGACAAGCAATTGTCCAAAACAGTTTTGTTAGAAGACGATTAAAATGCACAGTAAAAGTTCTGTTGACAGAGCTAAGTACCAGGGAGAGGTATACTTGGCCTTCAGGCTGCTATACATCCAGTTGTATCAACTTTCTGAAATCTGAAGGTGTTAAGTCAGCAATATGACTGACAATTTGCAAAGCTTGACTTTAGTTTGAAAAAAGTGTTTTGTAGTGCACAACCATAGAAGGTGGAGTGAATGTGGCTTTGCAGAATTAATTTTCTTTTAGAATAGTACTAGCAAAAGAGTGCTTATTGGTTGAAGGTTAAATACAGAAGGGTGAGTCTTTGCTGGAGTTGCAAGCACAGAACTGTACATTGGTACAGTGGTGGAGGGCACTGAGAGGGGAACGCTGGAGAGGTGTTAGAAGCCAAAGCGGAAGGTTGGTGGTCAAGCACAGAGGGGAGGATGGGGCTTTGTTTGTTGGTGTGAGCCTGGGGAAGGACTAGAAGAGTCTGCATCAGTGGGAAGAGCGAGGGTGGGTTGGCACTCTCATGGTGGTGAGAAGAGTAATATAGACACAGTGGTTATTGGGAGGTGGTGGTGGGAAGGGAGTCTATGGTTGCTGGCATGGAAGAAAACGTTCAGAAAATGCTCTTAGAAAGTTTCCTCTGAACTGCTTTAATACATATTTGCTAAGATTTAAAACATAATATAGCAGCTCAGATTTAGTGAGCTGGAAATTTCTAGAAACATATAGAAAGTATGTACTGCCTGTCATTTTTGGAAACTCGCTCCTAAGTCCTCATAGTCCACAGATCTTTTTTAACGCAGTGCATCCCAACATGAGGTAAGATGGCACCCTCCTGTACTTGTGCATTGCGGTGCTATTCTAAATGAATGGCATTGCAATGCAGTGCAGTGCCTTGTGTTCCCCTGTGTTGTGGTAATGTGCAGTAAAACATGCATTATCTGAACACATAGGTTTGAAGGGGGCCTAAAGGCTAACTATACTTACAGATATCCTAATGTTTAGCGTCCCCATTGGAAGGTTTCTCTTCTTAATTTTCTGTGGACAACCCAACATTTTGAGATTTTCTTTCACTTTTAATTATAATGTAAACAGGACAAATAAGGTGAATCTCCCTAATGGGGGGCACCAACAGCAATAGAACCTGACAGGGGTTCTAACCCCTCTCAACTCCATCCAAAACTTTTAGTTTACTTTAAGAAATCCTGTTCATTCAGAGTACAGTGCCCATGTGCCGGTGATGTCACTGACTGCTAAAGATGTGAAAATCTCCTAAACTGTACGCTTTTATTAGATAATTAGTATACCTACAGGTAAGCCTTATTATAAGCTTACCTGTAGGTACAGCTGATAAAGTGGACTTTACTACCACTTTAAACAAAAAAGTATACAAGTATACATTTTACAATAACTTTCATATTTACATGCGTCTCTAAACCCATTTAAAGTGGACCTAAGCAATTAAAAACTTGCCTGTCGCTCACTCAGAGTTCTTTTCCTCTGCCACTGCTACTGTCCTAACCTGCTGCTAAATGACTGGAAATAATGAGAGGCAGAGATATTAATTGTCTGGATCTACCCGAGAAACCTAATATTGTCCCTACCGCAGTCTTTGTTTGAAAGTACATGGGAATTATTTCCTGTTTTAGATATAGAAGGACAGCTCTGTGGGTGATGGGTATGATGGATAAGTATGTAGCTGCTCTTCTTCATCTTATCTTTATTGGGTCAAACACACTTGAATAATTTAGGAGGTTTTACAGATGTGTATACATAGTTTCAAGTGGTTTTATTGGGGTCAAAACAATCTTTTTGTTGCATTGCAGTATGTCACCCCAATGCAAGTAGGTGTGAGTGGTGTCTAAATGACATCCATGTTCCTTGTAGCACTGAGCCATACAGTACTCTATTCTGTGCCTCTGAATAATTGCAGGGAGAACACCAAAGAGAAAATTGATACTGTTGCAGAAGACCTGGAAGAAAGAGAGCAATCCACTCCCAAGGGACGCAAAACAGCAAATAGTCAAGGTCGACGGAAGGGTCGAATTACAAGATCAATGGCAAGTGAGGCAGCTGCCGCTAATGCAGCAGCTACCTCGATGTCTCCTGCTGCTGGACCATCTCCTCTTCCTAACCCAGCACCACCGCCAGCTGCGTCTACTCCTGTGGCAGCTGCGTTAGAAGACCCTCCAGCTTCTCTACCTGCAACAGCTGCACAGGAGCAAAGTAAGTAACAATGTGAACAAATCACTTGACGTCTTAAGTTGAAAAAGCTTTGTGTGTTGTGGACATCATACAAATCACAATTTATCACTTCTACCTTATATTCTCCCCCTATACACAGGAAGTTATGTTTTTAGTCTTTACATTCTTGACTGTTGAGCGCATGTCTAAAGTTTTAGAGGTCAAGGACATGACCTTGAAAGCTAGTCACATATCTTACTAATAAAATCTCCCATGTTTTCATAAAGTTCACTTAACATAAGCTTATATTTATGCTGCTTCATTTATCACATACACCTGATGCTTGTGGAATACCCATTAAACTGAAAATTAAAGTGGAGTTCCTGTTTACACCTAACTACCCTAAAACTGTCCTCTCTTAATACTTAGTTAGGTCCATATATATTGGGACACAGGCACAATTTTTGTTATTTTTCAAGTATTTACCAAAACATATTCATGCTATAGTTCTGTAATGGATATGGGCCGAAAGTGCACACACTCTGGTTTAATTTGAGGGTATGTACATCCAAATTGGAGGAAGGGTTTAGGAATTACAGCTCTTAAGATTAGCCATCCCCCCTTTTTCAAGGAACCAAAAGTAATTGGACAATTGAATCAAAAGCTGTTTCATGGCCAGGTGTGGGCTACTCCTTCGTTATTTTTTCATCAATTAAGCAGGTAAAAAGTGTGGAGTTGATTTTAATTGTGGTATTTGCAATCTAATGCTGTGAACCTACATCATGCGTTCAAAGGAGCTGTCCATGCAAGTGAAACAGGCCATTATAAGGTTTTTTCAGAAACTAAACAAATCCATCAGAGAGGTAGTAGCAACATTAGGAGTGGCACTGGTGAGCTCAGTAACATAAAATGGCATGGACGTCCACAAAAGAAAACAGTGGTGGGTGTTACCTCTCTATGGTAAAGAAAAACCCATTCACAACATCCAAACAAGTGAAGGACACACTCCAGGAGGTGGGCGTATCATTGGCAGTCTACAATCAAGAGAAGACTTCACAAGAGCAAATACAGAGGGTTCACCACAAGGTGCAAACCATTCATAAGCCTGAAGAATAGAAAAACCAGATTTTACTTTGCCAAATAAACATTTAAAAAAGCCAGACCAGTTCTGGAAAAGCATTCTATGGAAGGATGAAACTAAGATTAATCTGTACCAGAATGACAGGAAGAAAAAAATGTGGAGAAGGCTTGGAACACCTCATGATCCAAAGCATACAACATCATCTATAAAACATGGTGGAGGCAGTGTGATGGCATGGGCATGTATGGCTTCCAGTGGCACTGGGTTATTGGTGTTTATTGATGATGTGACAGAAGCAGCCAGATTAATTTTTCAGTGTTTAGAGATATACTATCAGCCCAGATTCAGCCTAATGTAGCAAAGTTGATTGGACGGCGCTTCACAGTACAGATGGACAATGATCTAAAACACACTGGAAAAGCCACCCAGGAGCTTTTGAAGGAAAAAGAATATTCTGCAATGGCCGAGTCAAATCACCTGATCTCAACTCATTGAGCATGCATTTCACTTGCTGAATGCAAAACTAAAGGCAGAAAGACCCACAAAGAACAACTGAAGACAGCTGCAGGTAGAGCCTGGCAACGCATCAGAAAGGAGGAATCCCAGTCTTTGGTAGTGTCCATGGTTTCCAGATTTCAGGCAGTCATTGCCAGTAAAGGATTCTCAACAAAATATTACAAATGAACATTTTATTTATGCTTATATTCATTTGTCCAATTACATTTGAGCCCCTGAAAATGGATGGACTGTGTAAAAAAAAAAATGGTTGCAGTTCCTAAAATTTGTACTTATATTTATGTTCAACTCCTTGCATTAAAGCTGAAAGTCTGCACTTCAAATTAATTTGGATTGTTTCGTCTTAATATATTCTGGTGTCCTACAGAGTCAAAAGTATGAAAATTGTGCCTTTTGTCCAAATATATATGGACCTAACTGTATGTTAACTAACCCGTGTAAGAGCTGTATATACTTACCTGTTTTCAGTCTGCTCCAGTTTGGTCATGTGATCTGTCTCCCCTGGGCCAGCCAATGGTGGCTGTAGGGGAGAGCGCTCCAACAATGGCTGGTGCGGTCACCCATAGGTTTCAATGGCGCGTTCATTGCTGGCGGTCCCTTCTCTCCCTTGAATGGCTGGGTGTAAGCTGGAATTCTACTTAAAGTTTAGTCATGTAAAGGAGCGTCTAATTACATTCACAAATGTGTTTATATAGATGAATGAATATAGTGTGTGTGTGTGTGTGTGTGTGTGTATATTTATTCGAACAACAGAGGTGAGATGCATGTTTTCTGTGTATAGGACGCTGGGTGACTGACATGTTCCACACTGTCCAATTATAGTTAATCCAAGAGAGTTACCACATTCCAAAGAGGTTTTTGAAACTGTTCAAATGTATATGCATTGAAAAGAAAATACACTTTGTACAGAAACTTTTTGGATTGTGGTAACCCTTGGATTGATTATAATTGGACACTGCGGAGCCTATTGGTATTATATGAATAAAATGTGATGTCTCAAGAGCTAATACAGGGGTGATGGCCAAGTGTCCACAAACATTTTGGCTGTTTAATGTATTTCACTTTTGTCTGTCTGCTCTGCATTCATTTAATCCAAAGAAAAGGAGACACTATAATGGCAGTTGAAAGTCATCCTCTAGGAATTGGCAGGCAGGGATTTCTTTAATATAACAGTATAGTTGTAAACAATGCCTGCTATGATAATATCCTGGAAACTTGCATATTCATCCATATCTGTTATTACAGACCCTTTTACATGGCTGTATATGAAACCTATTTCATATGTTAGTGGCACTTTGTGATTTCTTTTGCCAATTATAGGAAAAATAGGTCATTCTTGTAAAATTTGCCAGCTATTTGTTGTATTTTCCATTCCTCTGCTAATCATGACATTCATTGGTGCACTAGTATTCATGGCTGTGGGTTAGCCTTCTGTATTTGCATTAGACACCAATATTGTATATCAGTGTAGACTGAGTGTATGGATGGTGACACAAATGTGGTACTGTTTGAGGTAGTTCAATTGAGAGATGATACTGGATTGCTTACAGGCATCTTTGTTTTTTTGATATATCATTTCTTTGTAATTAGTAAATTGACTGTTTGCATTTTTTTTTTACACATTTTATAATATTTTTTGTTTCATTACCCTTTTACATGGTGTGGTTTCATATTGAATCCTGTGAAAGCGAAGTAGTAGCAGGGTGTTATAAGGGGTTGGGTTTCATTTTGCAGTCATTTAATTTCAAGATCTTCTGTTGTGTTAAACATTCTCACTTTGAAAATGCGGACAGCAAATACACACTACTTGAAGAATATGTAGTCTGTCTTCTCAGAAAAGTAAGTTTTCCATTGCTTTCCTTCCTGAAATGGTGCATTTATTGTTTATACCCTCCTTTTAATTCTGTGATGTCCCTCTGCCAAGCAAAGTTTCTAAATGTTCGTTTCACCTCATCATCACGTGCTTAGGTTTTCCATCCATGTTTATTTGTTAGAGATCCTGCCTATTCAAGCATTGCTTAAGCTAATTGAGTGGTAGGGCTAGTTGCAGAGCTACTGTATAGCAAGCACAGGAAGGTATTCCTGTCAGATCTTCTGCATTCCTGTCAGATCTTTCAGCAAGTTGGAATATCTGTCCAGTGAACAGTTCCGTTTTGCATCATAAAATTGAATGATTTTGTTAGTGTTTGTTATGAAGTTAGTGGTGCCTGCTACAGGAAGAAGTTTCTTGGCAGGAGGATAGGGGTCTGTACACCTCTCACTGACTATTTCTTAGTGATCAATCCATCTTAAAAAAAAAATGCACACATTACAATCTGTTTTTACTGCCCACTATATATTTAAAGTGTGCATATAGCCCACGTGGGTGGTTTTTGCTGTCTGGGGAGAATTCCCTTTTCTTGTCCTGAAGATGCAATAGAAAGTGAGAAGAAATCTATACAAAGTGAGAATTCCTCTCACAATTGTCAAAAGAATAGGTATCACAACTGGAAGGTGTACTCTCACCTCTTGTTCTGGTGCCAATTCTAAAATTTTGGAATTCTCATCCCTTCTCGTCTCAATGAAAATGGAACCTAGGAGAAATACAAAGGGTCAATCTATCTAGCAGGAAAAACAAATATAAGCCTGACAGGGATCTAATCCTTTCCTACTTTTTCCAAAACAGAGATAAATAGTTTTTCTTGCTTTTTGAAGGATACAAGCAGCCTTTATCAAATCAGAATATATACTGCTGTCTACTGGGGGATTGGACCCTGGGAAACAAAAAAAAAAAAATTGTAGGCAAACCCAAAATAATCCCTCCCACTGCCACCCAAACTAGCGTTTTGCTCCCTGCCACCTCCTTGGTTTCTCCCCTCCAACATTCTGTTTACCACACAGATTAACATATCTTCATTGAGCCCTCTCGGATTTTCTGGACCAAGAGTTCCTAATGTAAAATAGTCTTAAGAATTTTATTCCCACCTGTTCATTGTACCCAAACAGGACATGCATATCAAGGACATGTACCTGCATTGTCCCCATCTTTCCAGTACATCGGTGTATCCTACTTTTATCTCTAAGATTTCCGCATTACCAGTTTGCGACCCTCCCCCTCCATCATTTCTTCTACACGATGGGTGCTTACCATGGTATTGGCCCTGTTGCGCTCTTGTGGCAACCCTATTAATGGGATACATTAAGTGACCCCCTGTTGAAGGAAAAGTTGGCTCCTGTTTGTTGGACAATGTGGCTTTGACTGTTCAGACACTATAGTCGTTCAGATGAATGCTGAAACTCAAGAAATCGACCCTGGAACTGACTCATTGGTTGGAATTTGAGTCTAATCCTAGGCTAAGCTCAAGCTAGATTGTTTTGTCAACAGGACAAACTTCAGACTCTACAATCTTAGATTCAAACTCTCCAATCTGGGTATTGTCTGACTTTTTGCTAGGCTCCTGCAATC